TTTTGTTGTTTTGTTTAGTAGTGTGAGATTCTGTGAGCTGCTAATTCAACAATCTTGATGGAAAACATGACTGGCAGTTAGAGGCCTCTGACCCTAGAATTTTAACAGAAGAATGTGTCACAGAATTAAACAAAAGAAAAATAGATTTCAGAGGGGAAACTTACACATAAAAGAAACATAAAAACAGCAGGAAATAAGACTGTCATAATTAGTTTGAAAAATAATGTCTTCAAGCAATGTACTGCGTTTGATTTGTGATAAATAACCATAATGTGCCATTGAAACACGTCTTGCCAAAATGGCCTTAAAATGCTGATACTTTCAAATTAGTCCCACTTCCCATTAAATATTGATGTTCTGAGAGTTGTATACTTTTTAGAACTTTTTTTTACTGGCTGTGAAAAGAGAAAATAGATATGGGGTGGGTAGGGGGGTTAGTGGAGGTAGAGAACCGAAAATGTTCTTGAAAATAGTCTTGTGTATAAAGAGAGAAACAGAGAAACACCCACCAACAACATGGGCACTTGCTAACAAGAAGCAACAGGGTAGTTATTTAGGGAAATCAATCTGAAAAAAGAAAGGAATTTGATGTGCCAGTTAACTGTGGATCACCCAGCTTTAATTCTCATGGAATCTTAGCCAGAGAGTCACTGTTTCAAATTGGATCTCATTTCTTTGGCCCAATGAATGAATTTCAGCTTCCAACTGATGAAGATGCCCTAAAGCAGAAATTCTTAATCTCTAGACTATGGACAGATTGGGTGAGGTCATTCTCTGTGAACGGGGAATGTAGTATTGTGTATTGTAGTTTAGCGTCATACATGCCAGAAGCACAGCCTCCAAGTTGTGACGACTAAAAATGTTCCCTGGGGAACAAAATGCCCACCCTTCCCATGGAGTACAACTTGCTTTAAAGACATCAGAGAAAGGAGTCCGTGTACAGATAGAGCTGGCTGAAGGTGGGAAGAAATATGACATGAAATCTCACAGTGGCTAGCAAAATGAATGAATGAATACATGAATGGGCAGGTAGATAAATAAATAATGATAAAACATTGCTTCTTGCTTGGCTACAGAATTAATGAATGAATTGGCACTGCATTTGGACAAACAAGGAAAATAACAATTAATTTCTATTGACTATTTAACAGTTTATTTTTGTTTCAATAAGGTTCCATCTTTCTGGTAGGTATGTTTTGACTCAGTGTCCCTTCTTCCATTAAGAAACTGTATGTCTCCTATACCATATGATTCTTGCTCAGTGGCTGGCATGGGCACAGACATATGATCCAAGCAGGGCCAATCAGAATCATTTGAAGGGATTTAGCGGGCTGCTGAGGGACAGTTATGGAGCACTGGGAGACATCTTTGCTGCCAGCTTCTGAGAGCCTTGCTGAGAAAGAAGCCAATTTGGAGGGAAGCAGGGCTGGAGAACCAGCAAATCCCTGATTCTCTTCAGGCCTTAAGCCAGTCCACACCTTAGACTTCCCTGTTACAGGAATATAACTTTTTAACAAAAACAAAGCTAATATAGGTTCCTGTCATTAGCAACCATTATAATCCTAGCTAAGAGTCACTAAACTACATTGCAGTTAGTAGTGTCAAATTATATTTTTTGAATCAGATTATTAATCACAGAGGAAAAAAAGAGTTCTTGGACTGCAGTTCCTTCTCCATGTCGAAAATTCCCTATGGGTGACTTAGTAGCATAGATATTATCAAGGCCCTATTTCTTCACTCAACAGGGCATCACTTGCTGTACAACTATATGAACAATAACCTGAATTATTAAAAATAGCACTCACTGACCAATGGAAGGCCAAAAAAATTTTCCTACAAAGAGGTGGGTACAGGCTGGGTGCAGTGGCTCACACCTGTAATCCCAGCACTTTGGGAGGCCGAGGCGGGTGGATCACCTGGGGTCAGGAGTTGGAGACCAGCCTGGCCAATGTGGTGAAACCTCATCTCTACTAAAAATACAAAAATTAGCTGGGTGCGGTGGCAGGCACCTATAATCCCAGATACTCGGAAGGCTGAGGCAGGAGAATCACTTGAACTCAGGAGGTGGAGGCTGCAGTTTGCTTAGGCTGCACCGCTGCACTCCAGTCTGGGCGACAGAGACCCTGTCTCAAAAAAAAAAAAAGAAAAAGAAACAACAACAACAACAACAAAAAAGAGCTGGTGCAATGTGATGCTGAGCTCCTTAAACGTTTAAATTTAAAGAATAATTATTAAATCAAAGTTGCAATGTGGAAATTTTAATGTGAAATGTTCTGCTACTACTGATCTAAACAGAAATAATGAATACTCAGATTATAAATATTAAGATTATCAATATTGCTAAAATATAAATGACTGCTTTTACAGCTTCTAAATAAAAGATAGCTTTAGGGAATTGTGATAATGATGAAGATCAATTTGTACATTTGGTCATTAATCACCATTTCCTAATTGGGTTTAATTTGACTACTGCTCATTAGAGTTATAAACCAACATACTCATTTAATTGTGATTATAATTCAATCGCTGAACTTTTATAGTACTATGAACAAATTAATAATGAAAGATAATTTTGCTCTTAAAAATATCACATAAGACTTACGTTTTAATGAACTGTATATAAAGAATGTTTTACGATGATTCCCTTAAAAAAAAAAACTCAAGACTCTTCCATTCTCTTAATAATTAAAAATCAAACTTCAGACTCACGACGTTTTGTAAACACACTCTCAGAAAAGGTTTCCATACCTCTGTTCCCTGAAGCCAGAACACAGCTTGTGACTGCTTCCCAAAGGGTTGAATAAAAAATGTATTGCAGCCATTTTTATCCCACTCCATAGCTACAGCTGAATTTCCATTTTTCTTAATATGAAGCAAACAGGCTGCTTGTGTATACTAGTTTAAAAAGCAATATATGACCTTTAAGAACTTTTGTTAAGCCTCTGCCTTCATTTCTTGGACTTAATTATCAACATGAATTCTGACTGGTATTCCCTGCCAAACTGGAGACTACTTCTAGGTCATGTCCATGAAAGCAAATAAGTAGTTTAAATGGAAGAAAGTAGAAAAAAGGCAGGTAGCTGCAGTTGAATCTGGAGAATCAGAATCAACATGCATGCTGGACTCAGAGGGACATGGGTTCAAATCCCAGCTTCTGTAACTTCTGACTGGCCCCTGGGACAGTTACAATGGTTTTTCAACCCTCTATAAAATGGGGATAACGACTCCTAAATTTTCAGGGTTGTGGTAAACAATATGAAAGAATATAGGTATAAGCTTATCACAGTGCCTGGCATATAAGCTCAAGAAACAGCTTCTTCCCCTTCCTTTCTTCCCTTTATAAAATACTCACAATTTTATAGCCATAGCAACTTTTTAAAAAAGTATTTATGAATAAAGGTGGCTTGTTTATAAATGACCAAGCACAGATTTATATCGGATGGTCATCTGTATAAATCATGAAATATATTATTTTCAATGGCTTCCTAAACATAAAATCTTTGCTTGTTCTTGTCTAAAATCTATACTATTCCTGGGCTACTCTGAGACTACCTGAGAAGAGGAATTTCATTTTATGAATGTTAGGGACTAGCCTATTTTGTATCTGATACTGCATGCATACTCATATATGATCTCATCTTATTTTCACAACACTCTATGAGCTAGGCATCATTGCTACCACTTATTTGATTGGGAAAAAAAAAAAAAAAAAGACCTGAAACTTAGGCAGGCTAAGTAAGTTGCCCAGATCTGTAGCCAAAACATGGCAGATACAGAATTTATACTTAGGCCTCTCTGGGTTTCAAAGAAATAATAGTGTAGTTTCTCTGAGTCTAGCTACAGAATCTCTGAAATGGAAATGTGCTAAGGAGAAAATATTGTCTCAACCACCTTGGTCCAAAAGTTGATGTGTTTACACATAATGATTCACCCCAGTTACCAATTCAATGCAAATTCCTCTTTACTGACTGTAACATACTAGACAACATGCAAGACACTGGAGGTGAAATGTACTAAAAAAGAGAGGTTCATGGGGCTTACAGTCTGGTATCCCTATCCTATCCATCTGCTATTCCACGGTTTTGATAGCAAAAGCTTGTGAATGTGTGTGTGGAACTCCACTTTACCCCTTACCACACATGCATTCGTAAGTTTTCGCTACCATATTAATAAGAACTTATGGAATATTTGCTGTATGCAAGAAACAGTGCCGTGGTGGTAGGTACTGAGATATAAAACATTTATTTATACTCTATAAGTACCTGATGGATAGGAGCAACCTTCACCACAAAAATGCCACCTACTACTGCCTGAAGCAGAAACTGCTGTCCAAGTAAGGTGAAAGAGCTCAACTGGGGGGGACTTGGGGCTTTACCAAGGTGATATAAATCCAGCCCAGAACACAAGGTGAAATTATATACTGATTTAGGCAAACTAAAGACATTCAAAAAGTTCCAGTTCCATAAAGGCACATGTGTTCATTATACCCAAGTGTGTGGCTCCCATTTCTACACAAATCTTTACCTTAGTAGCAGCAGTGATAGGCCTAAAAAAATAAGGTGGAGAGAAAGATGTGAACGAATGTTTCTTCTCTTTTAATTTATTATTATTTATTATTATTATTATTATTATTATTTGTAGAGACAGGGTCTCAATATGTTACCCAGGCTGGTCTCAAAGTCTTGGCCTCAAATGATCCTCGTCTTGTCCTCCCAAAGTGCTGGGATTTCAGGCATGAGCCACCACACCAAGCCTGAATGTTTTTAAGTAAAACAAGCAGTAGCTTTAGTAGCTTCCTTAGAGCCCTGGCATTTGGCTACAAACAAACCTAAGTGCTGAAATGTTCAACTGCATCATGGGAGCATTTCAAACTATGGCAGAAATTAAATTACTGTAAGAAATTTATGCAAAGCTGCTGCTACAGTCTTTTGTGCAATTTATAGTTTGCATAAATAATTATAATACATTCATTTGTTTTCTCAATTCTTTTTTTTTCTTACCTTGTCCTTCTGGAGTTTCACCAAAGGGATTCACTTCCACCTGAGTAGCATCAATTTTTAGGAAGAGATTATACAGCTTCGTAATTTGATCTGCAGCCTAAATGTGATCAAGTGAAATGGAATTACACCAAAGCAGTAAAAGAAAATTTATTTTGCTGGATTAATGAAACTTTAAAAATAGCAAGTTATGTCTTTATTTTCAGTTAGGTTTTCTGAAGGGAAAAACAGAAAAACATAATTATTTTAATTTCCGCTGCTATTCATTAAAAGGAATTGCTCACCTCTCCTCCAGACACCAGAAGAGACCATTATCAAGAAAACAAAATATTTTCAGTACGGCCTAAAACGTTGTTAATCTTTTTGTAAATTATCATGTCTCTATTAGCAGAGTTATGCTGCAATATAAGCTACAATCATTAATACAAACAAGTTCCATTTAAGTAAAAGGTAAACATGATTTTGAGAGTTTATAATGACTAGATTTTCCTTATTGTGCTGAAATAAAAGTTATTATATTAATCAATCCAACCCATAATCTGTGAAACAACAATTACTGAGTGTCTAACGAAAATTGTTGTAAAACAGGAAGATGTAAGTGCTCAATAGTGTAGTCACTGAACAGCACAATTCAAACTGAAAATAGCTTGTCCCAAAGGCATTAACCACAAAGGGCAAGAATATCCAAGGTCGCCCTGTTATGCCCTGACTTCGTTTTTCTCACTCTGCTTGAAATTCGCTCATTCATTCATTCTTTTCAACCAACATTTCTTCACTGCCTATGACACAGCTGGCTGGTATCCTGAGAGCTGGCGCTAGAAATGAGAACATGAATGAGCCATGCCCCCACCCTAGAAAGCTCCTGTCAATAACGAAAGGAGCATGTGATGCACAGAGCAAGAGGGTCGATCATGGAGAAGAATTAGGTATCAGTCTCATTCCCGGCTCCATTTTCCAAGCCAAAGTTTTCCCACTGCCACATTTCACTCACTGTGCCAGCCTTGGATTATTTGCAGCAGATCCATTTTCAGTTCTCCAACTCTACTCTGTATATCAGGGAAGCTGACGCTTACAGGCTAAGTTTTCTATGTTCCTGGGTCAGCTGGTTTCCAGCTGGGGCCAGCCAATGAGAAGCAGCGGTGAGAGATGGCGGTGGGAAGAAGGGAAGAACCAGGGTACTTCCACTCCTCTCTTTCTGTCTGGGCAGCACCTCCTCCTCTGGCTCTTGCTCCCACTGGAGAAGCCCACCAGAGTTCTAGCTTCTGTATCTAAGGTCCAGTAACACCACTGCCTCATTTTTGCTCCTGGAGCATGCGGATGGATATACTCTAGGTTGCCTTTCTGTCCACTCTTGACGGAGTCTCGCTCTGTCGCCCAGGATGAAGTGCAGTGGCGGCATCTCAGCTCACTGCAACCTCTGCCTCCCAGGTCCACGCCATTCTCCTGCCTTAGCCTCCCGAGTAGCCGGGACTGCAGGCGCCCGCCACCACGCCCGGCTAATTTTTTCTATTTTTAGAACAGACAAGAGTTCCACCGTATTAGCCAGGATGGTCTCGATCTCCTGACCTCGTGATCCACCCGCCTCGGCCTCCCAAAGAGCTGGAATTACAGGAGTGAGCCACTGCGCCCGGCCCTGTCCACTTTTAAACTACTCAGCTCTTGCAGCACCTATGAACGCATCCCTAAAGTAAATCCCCCCTGGTGTAAATATTGCAGGTGGTTCCAGATTTGACTGAAGAACTCCAGATTTAATTCATGCTATGTTAATGTATTTTATGTTTACCTACAAACATCTTTAAATCCAAATTTGAGGCCCAGTAGATATAAAAGAACCCACATAACGAGTATGATTACATATTTTTAATATTAAATATTTGTATGGGTAGATAACACATGTATATGATACAAAATTCCCAAAGAACTTAAGGGTTTTCCCTGATTGTACCATTCAACCACACAGGCCCCCAGTGGTAGCACACTCATAAATGTGCCCTTCATCTGAGAGATATTCTATGCCTAACACAGTATGCATTCCTCCTTCATCTGTCTTAAAAAAGCAAACTTGTTCCTATGCCTCATTTCTTTACTTAACAGATTTTTAGAGACACTTCATCAGCAACACAGGTAGATCAATCATATCCTTTTAATTGACTAAATAATATCTTACTGTATTGATGTGCTATAATTCCTTTAACCTTTCACTTAAATAATGACCATTTGCATTGTTTCTAATAGGTTGACATTACAGCACTGCCTTATGTATCTCTGGATATTTAACATACACTTGATTAAACATTTGTAGGATAAATTACCCAGAGTGAAGCAGAAAGGAGTATAGCCATTTTAAACATCAAAAGATTCTGCTAAATTGTTCTTTTTTTTTTGAGACAGAGTCTTGCTCTGTTGCCAGGCTGGAGTGTAGTGGCGTGATCTGGGCTCACTGCAACCTGCACCTCCAGGGTTCAGGCGATTCCCCTGCCTCAGCTTCCCGAGTAGCTAGGACTAGAGGCGTGCCACCAAGCCCAGCTAGTTTTTTGTATTTTAGTAGAGATGGGTTTTCACCATGTTGGCCAGGATGGTCTCCATCTCCTGACCTCGTGATCCACCCGCCTTGGCCTCCCAAAGTGCTGGGATTACAGGTGTGAACTACCACACCTGGCCCAAATTGTTCTTCATAGAATTCGTCCCTGATTTCCACTCCTAAAAAGTGAAAATTATCAGAGACACTATTTTCCAATTCACAATCATTAGCCATTTGTATCTTTGCCAATGGGTTAGGTGAAAAAGGGTATCTCACTGATATGGTTGGGCTCTGTGTCCCCACCCAAATCTTACCTTGAATTGTAATAATTCCCATGTGTTGCAAGAGGGACCCAGTGGGAAGTAATTGAATCATGGGGACAGGATTTTCCCATGCTGTTCTCATGACAGTGAATAAGTCTCACAACATCTGGTGGTTTTATAAAGGGGGCTTCCCCTGCACAAGCTCTCTTGCCTGCACCATGCAAGAAGTCCCTTCCCTATTCCTTCGTCTTCCACCATGATTGTGAGGCTTCCCCAGCCATGTGGAACTATGAGTAAATTAAACCTCTTTCCTTCTTAAATGACCCAGTCTCAGTGATGTCTTTAATTATCAGTGTGAGAACAGATGAGTACACTCACATATAGTTTTAATTTATTTTATTATGAATGAATTTGCACATTTCTATGAGTTTAAGAGATATCTTATTTTTTTTCTGTGAATTTTGCCTATTTTCCTGTTGAGATTTTGATCTCTTATTAATTTATAGGAAGAGAGTGTGTGTGTGTGTGTGTGTGTGTGTGTACAATAGAGTCTTGCTTTGTCACCCAGACTGGAGTGTACTGGCACAATCATGGCTCACTGCAGCCTTGAACTCCTGGGCTCAGATGATCCTCCCACCTCAGCCTTTCAAATAGCTGGACTACAGGCACATGCCACTAGGCTCAGCTAATTTTTTTAGTTTAATTTCTTCTAGAGATGGGGGTCTCGCTACGTTACCCAGGCTGCTCTTGAATTCCTGGTCTCAAGTAATCCTCCTGCCTCAGCCCCTTTAACATTTACCTTTTGAACATTCTTTTGTTAGTTTTGCCACATGGAAATTTCACAATAATGTCACTCTAATATGGCTTCTGGCTTTGTGTCAGACTTTTAAAAGGCTAGTCCCATTCTGAGAATATTTTTTAAAATTCTCCCATTATTTTTTCTAGTATTCTTTATAATTTCTTTATTTAATGTTTCCATTTTTTTTAATCCAAATAAAATTTGAGTTAAAGTGTGAAGCCAGTAAATACTTCACTGCTGAATATTTTTTGTATTTTAGGGGGTTTTCTAGGTCATCAATGTGAGCTTGCAATGTGAGTTGCATGGGGCAGGCATCTTATGTGTCCTGGGCACTTTGGCATCCACTGTCGTCATACAACCTCTGCAGAGTCAATACTTGATAAATATTGGTTGAATTAAAGATTAATTCAATTCTAAGGGGGACTAGGGGGACTACATAATAGAAATAACTTCTGGGTACACATATATATATATATATAAAAAATCTAATCCAGCTACTTCAAAACTTTTTTAAAAACTGTGATAAAATAAACAAAACATAAAATTCACCATATCTCAACCATTTTTAAGTGTCTACACAGTTCTGCAGGGTCAAGTTGGTATATTCACATTGTTGTGCAACCAATCTCTAGAACTTCTTAATCTTCCCTCACTCTGTATCGCTAAACAAACTCCTGTTCTCCTCTTACCATTCTCCTCTTACCGCAGCCTCAGGCAACATCATTCTACTTTGTGTCTATAAATTTGACTATTCTAGATAGCATCTCTCTCTCTGTCTCGCTCTCCATCTCCCCATATATATACACACACATACACACACACACTCCTCTCTCTATATATATACACACACATATATGTCTCCATATATATCTGCATATATATGTATAGATATCTATAGATAGCAGACATATAGATATTAGAGATATCTAGATACATACATACATAAAATAAAGGATATGCATATATACATACACTAGATACCTGTGGAATTATCCAGTGTTTGTCTTTTTGTGACTGGCTTATTTCACTTAACACAATATCCTCAAGCCCCATCCATACTGCAGCATGTGTCAGAATCTTCTTTTACAAGGTTCAATAAAGTTCCATTATAGCATATACCACATTTTGTTTATGAATTCATCCACAGATATACACTTAAACTGTTTCAGAACTTCTTAAGCCTACACCAACTTTGTTTAGTACAAGCCTGCGTTTTCCACACATTAATCCCATTGTAATTATACATTAGCACAGCATTTTGGGGATATTTTCTGTTTTAATTTTTACTGTTGTGCAAAGCCGGACTGTAATTTTTTGAGCAAGACTAAAACATAATTTGATCTTGGACGTATCTCCAAACCAAGCTGGTTCTCCCTTGTAGCTCTCACAATGACAAACCCTTGTAAGATGTCTTATTCCAGAGGCTATACACTAAATGGTTATAAGGGCTAGGCAGACAGAATGTGTAAGTGTGACCAGGTGTGATATGGAATGGCATGGCATGTGGCAAGTTGAAATTAGCTTTCCTGCTTTCTACATGGGTTCAAATGTTTAAAATAAGCACAGGTCAAAGAGAACATTCTCCTGGTCAACTTGCAGTCAGTCGCTTACTATTGCCATTACTTTCTCAGCTCATAACCACTGTGTACAAAGGTTTTCTGCACTTTTGCCACCAACTGTTATTTTGTCTATTAAGCAATTTTTAAAAATTAAAATCTATAAAATCAAATATATGTAAATGAAAACCTGACAAGTTTATACAAATTTTTAAAAATGTCTTAACAGGAGCATAATGAGGAAGGGCCTCAGAACCACGCAGGCACAGTTGTGTGCTGCATCACCAAGATATTGTTCCCAAAGTCTATTCCATCATGCCTGGCCACTCCACCCTCAACCCTCCACCCAGTGGAATATGACATATCCCTGGAAACCCAGCGGGTGCAAGCCAAGCGGTTGGCCGTAAGAGCCCAGCTGAAACGGGAGAGTACTTGCTTCAGTACAACGACCCTAACCGCTGACAGCTCATTGAATATCCTGCCTTGATTTGTTGGACCTATGCAAGATCAGCAAATGTCTATCCTAATTTCACCCCTAAAAACTCACTCTTGGGAGCTTTGTGTGGAATTAGGCACCTCTTCTTCTCGTTTTATGATTTCAAAACTGACAGAGATAGGAAAGAAAAAATTATCCAGGAAGGCAAATTGGATCGAACATTTAACATCTAAGTCTGGCAATGATGACTATGTGTATTCTTGCTGAAATAAATCGTCTATTAATCAAAACAAAGTCTCAACAGGTTAAGAATTTTAAATATCTTTCCTGCATTCCAGAAATTATCATCAATATTCACATATGGCTCTCAAATCTAGCCAGAAGTACAAACCACTTCAAGAGGTGTTAGTGATCTTACACTGACTTGGAGCATCCGATCTTTCATCAGCCTAAATCCTAGAGACACATGTTGACAATTCATGGCACTCATGTTTTCAGAAACTAACAGTATAGATGATAATTAAGACACACTTGACAAACTTGTAAGTTTCAGTCATATGATAGACCCCCTTTATCCTCTGTTTCCCTTTCTGTGGTTTTAGTTAACCATGATCTACTGTGAGTCCAATTTATTAAATGGGAAGGACAAAATTATGGACTAAGATCCTTGGATGGAACACAGCACTAAAGTCACTGACAGATTACAACCTCTACAGCCACACTTTGATGAATTAAAAAGAAAGAGACAAACTTCTAATTATGATGTTCTTCTAAAAGGTTATCGTGAAAAACCTTCAACTATCCAGGATCCCCAACCATTGACATTATCTGTTCCTGACATCCAGCCATTGACACCCATGGCTTGATGATCTACGATCATCCAAAGTAGATGTCCCTCCTGAATTACTGCCAGGAGGTCATGAGTAGCCCAATGCTATATCGTAATGCTCCCATTACTCACCCCAGGTCTTACCATGTAGATATTGTATCATCTCACATCATCGCAAGAAGGGTGAGTATAGTACAATGAGATATTTTGAGAAAGAGACCATATTCGCATCACTTTTATTACAGTATATTGCTATTGTTCTATGTTATTATTGTTGTTAATATCTTACTGTACCTAATTTATAAGTTAAACTTTATCCAAAGTATAGATATCCAGAAAAAAAGAGTATATGTAGGGTTTGGTAGCAGGTAAGCTTCAGGCATCCACTGGAAGTCTTGGAACGTATCCTCCACAGATAAGGGGGAACTACTATATCAAGCTTTTCTATGTCTTAACGTTTTTCAACAAATTCCCACAGAAATAGACTTTAGTTGGGAACAAATACTTGGTAATTTTATGAAAAGTAAGATATCATCTTTATTTTTGTTGTGTCTAATATTAATCACATTTTCGAGACAACAGGCATGAGTCACAGGAACGATATTAATAATTTTACAAGACTATCATCTTACATGATATTCAACCATGAGTGAGGTACCTCCAAATGCCTAAACCACATCCTAGATGAAAATTAAGTAACTTTCAAAGTCACACTGAACCTAAGGGGCCTCTAAGATACAATTTTTTAGGAAAAGATCATTGATGATTGTTTAAATGTTTTTCCTTCTACACTGTCCCATCTGCTCATTGTACAGTGGCTCTCTAGAGCATTTCACTAATCCCCACAGCTTGAGCACGCCCCATAAAGCACAGATTCCCAAGCCTACAACTCCAATGCACAGCTTTCCCTGAGCTCCCAAGCCATATATCCCTTCTACTGTAGAAATACACTTACGTGTCCCTAGATGAACAACTTCCAACATGTCTACAGCTGAGATCAACCTCTCTCTCCCTCTGCCCCTGCTCTCTCCTTCACATTCCTTTATCCATCCCTCTTCCTGTATCCTCTCAGCCAGCAGGCAGATGTCCACTGGTCTGTGAGCCCCTGAGGAACAATAAGTTATTTTTCATTGTCTCTGTTCCCCAGGGCATAACAGCCTGAGCAGCAACCAATCAGTGCTCACTCCAAGCTGCTGAGAAAATGAAGATTTAAAGCCCTTCATGGAGTTAGCAGTGAAAAAAGAAAAAAAAAAAAACAAATGAAAACATTTTATTTCCTTTCCTCGATAAATTAATTCAAAGGTATACTGACAATATGGCCACTTACTGACCCCTGAGTTCTCACATTTTCATCATCCTTCCGTAGGTAACTCATTTAAAACCTAGAGTGTTTCAGGTACTAGGAAAACAAGAGTAAGACATTCAAGAGCTATAAATAACTCTTAATTTTCTCTTATAATATGTAGTGAGGGGGGAGTATCTTGTGATGTACATTATACTGTTATTAACTTCTCTAGAACTCTCTATTATGTTCACCTCCTGAGGTTTTAAATATGTGGTCAGCAGATTTTGCCCATTCCAGATTTATTTCTCTGTCATGAAAAGCCACCTATTGCTGAGTCTCTAGGAACCTCTTCAAAGTGGACAACTAGATGTGTTGTTTCACCTAGTCAGGCACATGACAAATGTTTCTTGGGCAATAAAAATAGATGCCAAGCACTTTGCCAGCTGCTGGCAACACAGCATTGAGTAGGATGGACAAAGTCCCTGCCGTGGTAAAGATTAGGATCTAGCAAAGGTGACTGCAAATAAATAAGAGAAATAGAGATGTCCAAAGTGATATGGAGGAGGCAGACAGGGTAACTGCACATATTCTGGAGCTGACTGCTGGACAGTGCAGCTTGACCACAGTGGCTATATGGAAAACGGGCTCTTGGTGACCACCACTGCCACAGGAGAAGCCCCTTAATAAACATCAAATGAATGGCTAATGTAGCTGGTATCCTCATTTGCAGGAGATGAAACCAACCACTGTAGCACATATTCAGGAATCTTCCAGGATCTTCCTTTCAACAGATCACTTTCCTGGCATCTCTTTGCTAGTCTCAGAAATGGCAATTAGTTCCTCTAACTGTCCATTGAATCCTGGCCCTTTCTCTCTCATCCTGAGGTTTAGTTCCAGATGACCCTGTCCCATTCTACCATCTTCAATCTTTTGCTTTCAAAGTGAGCCTTTATTCATTTTCAAGTAAGTAGTTTCTCTTCATTAAAGCATATATATTTCTTAAAACCTTATTCTGCTTTACCCCTCTTTGACTTTCCTACTGTTGTCATTAAACTTCCAGACAGAGTCAATCAAAAGAAAAAGACAAGACGGAAAGAAAAGAGTGCATCGTCTACTGTCTTATGGAAATAGTACTGCCTAACCAAAGGACATACTCTGTAACCTCTCCATAAAGTCCCAGGCCAGAGAACATACATACATGCACACATGCACACAATCTAGGGCCATTAAGGTGGCCTCTCTGAGTAACAGAGGAAGGAAAAAGTAAGTTTATCTGATTTAGCTGTGGGACTAGGAAGCTTGTTCCGCTAGACACATAATCAGGTGCCATGCGCTGGACCAAAGGCAGAGCAGGGCACGATGCTAGGACAGATTCTGTCCCTCAACAACTCTAAGGCCAATGTTTTGGTCTTTGAAGCCAAGGGATATTACTACAAAACTGGCATATTTTAAGCTGTTCTCAATAAAACATCAACTTTATGCCATCAATATTCATTTCAAATGCCCATTAGCTATGAAAGAATAGCAATTAGCTAAATAACATGTATTATTAATATTAATACCAATAAGAATGGACCTTTATGGAGCACTATAATAAGGACTTTCACACATTATTCTACTGAATCCCCACAATAAACCTCTCAGGAGTTGTCATCATTCCCATTTTATAGAAGATGAAACTAAAGTCTGAATGAGCTGAATCACACACCTACCTGCCAGGTGGCTAAGTACCAGCAGTGCTACAGAAAAAATACAGATTACCATCCATCATAAAGTGTATGTGTCCACATGCAATACACATGCACACACATATCAAAATTCATTCAAAGACACATCATAAACATCCTCTTTTAAAACATCAGGGAAATATTTTTCTTCATCATAAACAGCTGGAAGAAGAAATTAGAAAACAATAAGTAATCCTGTTTCCTGGTAATCACAAACACTAGAGGCAATTAAGAAAGTTCCCAAATGTTTTCTGAAACAAGTCAGACACACCATCCCCCAATGGCTTATATACCTGGCTTTTCAAAGGCCCAACGAAGCCTAGATTTTCTGCCATCCGCTGAGCTTGGCTGTCCTTTATTCCTTCAAAAATGTCAATTTGCTCCTAGTAAAAATAAATCAAATAAACGAAATTTAGACAGTCAACTGAGAAGATTTACAACCTCAAAAGAAAATGCTTTGTATTTATTTGCAAATGAGTAATTAAAGTGTGGCACCTATCCAGAGATCTCTGAGCAGGGCTACCGCAGATGCCTGTAGGGTATGTTTTAATTAGCAGACCATCTATAAAACAGCTCTTCCAAAAACTATATAATTCCTCATGGTGGCATGCTGACAAGAAACTCTGATGCCAGTTTTCACTTTTAATTACTATACAGATGGCATTGACGAATATTTAGTCAGTTAATTTTTATGACATCTTTTGGAAGACCTCCAAAGTGAGGTTTTCCTGCCTACTATTAGTTAAGTTTAAAGCCTGTCATAGATAGGTTAAATATTACTTTATGATTTAAGCACTCTATTGATGATAATGATTACTGATACCTTAGCTCTACAAAATGCTATTGTCTCAAAGACACCGAGCACTGTCATTATACATTATTTCATGCATCCTCTTAACAAATGGAATGGCCTGCTTTAAATAATGTGAACTTTGAAAACAGCTAGGTGTTATCGGTAAGTCTGCATGTAAAGTCTCAATTCAGTTTCCAAGGTAATTAACTTAAATATATAACATTAGTGAAAATATTTTAAAAGCAATCACTGAAGTATGAGTACAGTAGGTCTTCAAATAACATTACTTCATTCAAGGTCGTTTTGTTATAAGGTTGAGAAAAAAAAAAAAATCAATTCCCAGCCAAGGCCACTGTCTGTGTGGAGTCTACAAATTCCCCTCTTGTCTGAGTAGGTTTTCTCTGGGTCCCCCGGTTTTCTCCCACATCCCAAATCTGTACAGGTTAGGTCAACCGGTTTGTATACACAGTCCCACTCTGAGTGGGTGTGGGTGTGATGCGGGTGCGGGTGTGGTGTGTGAGTGTGCTCTGCAATGGGATGGTGTCCCATCCACGGTGGGTTCTTTGCTTGCACCCTGTGCTCTAGCCATCAGAGACCCTGAGCTGGAATAACTGGATAAATAATTACGTTACTTGTTTTTATGAAATCTTTCTGAAATGTATACATAGCTCCTATTTATTATAATGTGTAACATTAGAAGTGTGCTGGTCTTTATTTAGGAGTTGCGTGATGTTTTTGTGAGCAGAAATATGCCATAGGAACTTAACTCTTGTTTATATCAATTAGCCTATGTATGGTAACATTGGTTTCCTTATACATTGTTTCCATTCAAGTCAAAGTTTCCAAGAACCTGTTGAGGATGCTAAGTGGGTGTTTATTGCACATTATTTAGACAAAGAGATATAAGAAATAAAATCTCCCCTTTTCAAAGGGAAACAAAAAATCATTTTCTAAAAGAAATAATGAATGTTTCTGGTGGAAAATTTTAATGCAATTTTGACCCCAAGAACCCAGATTAAAAACTTGAATTTTAGTTCTGAAAACTTATGTTTTTCTCCTTATAGCTGAGGTAGGTTAAGAAGCACTTAATACATATCACCTCATTTAATCCTTATAATCCCACAGGGTAGAAATCACCCCATGTTCATTTTACTGATTTAAAAATGAGGTTTCGAGACTTTGAGAAACTTGTGCTCTGATTAAATTTGATCTCACATCCCTGACTTGAAACTAATCTTAATATCAATAAACGAGTCAAGATTTCAAGGATCGAAAAAAACTGACAGAATCTGGACTTCATAAAGATTCTAGTTTACATCAACAGTACTGAGAGATCACAAAGCAGTTTCTAGTACATCTACTAAAAGAGAATTCATTCATCTCCTAGGAGAGAATTTCTAGATCATATATAATATTAAATGAAAGAGAGTTAACCATGAGAAATGAAAATATAGCAGTCCTCTCCCATTGGTTAATTCTTGAGGAAGATTGGATGGAAAGGAATCAGGGAGGAAGAAAAGGCAGAAAGAAGGAAAGAAGGAAGGATGGGAAAAGCAAAGACAAAAAGTCCTTGAACACTAAATACCTTGATTCCACTCAACTTTCAACTGGATACTTAGAAAGAAAAAGGGCTCAACATCTTCATACCTTAAATTGTAGAGACAGATTTACTGCTCCTGGCCTTAGACTCCACATTAAATATTTAACATCTTCTACAATAACAATCAATTAATAGCGCGTAGCCAGGAATTTAAACATACCTTAAAAATGAGCTCTGGGTTTGAAGCAGCCACCTCTTCAATGTCGACGCCCCCCTGAGGGCTGCCCACCAGCACGGGGCCATTGCAGGACCGGTCCATCAGAATTGCCAGGTAGGTTTCTCTGGAAATGTCCAAGGCTTCAGCAACCATCACCTACCACATTAGTGGGAAAGTCAAATTAATTCAGCATTAAGCTGATTTCTACTTGGAAATCTATACAAACTTGCTACAGCAATCAAACGGCTTCATTTTCAGGCTCTTAAAGCCCAGTGAGTGAGTTTGCAGAGCTTTGAGAGTTCTGCTCTCATGGTGCACACAATGCCCATTTTCACCTCCTTAATTGATTCTGTTAACTTGTTCAAGTGACACGCATTTGGTTTGCCTCAAGGAACCTTCCCACTTTAATCTTCTTTTTTTCCTTCCTCAAGAAACTGTGTCGCTTAAGAAATACTCTAGAGAAGTGGCTGTTATTTTAATTTGAGATATTAACAGTTCATATATATATATATATAACTACACTGACTTTTCTCAGATTTCTCTGGTGGAAAACCAAGCATGGTGACCACAGACGGATTCTTTTACAGTATGTCTGATGCTTCATATGTTTGTATATTTCTGTCGCTTTGATCACTATATTTTATTTTGTTTTATACTTTCTTTTAATTTACAAACAGAATATTTACTTGTTCAAAAATAATGGAAACGATACCAAAAATATATAAATGAGAAAGTGAAAGCAGCCCCCTGCCGCATAGCTCTACCTCAAACAAACCCCTCGGGCCCCAGAAGTCAGCGCAAATATGAGCCTAGCAGGATCCTTTGTGATAACTAGAAAAAGGCACCCCTTCCTCTGGGAGTATGTAGTCACTTGCCAGGACCATGACTGGGCAAGGGACAAGTGGGATGGAAGAATGTCATTCAATTCCACGAGTGAGTGGGGACTCACTGCCTCAGCCAGGTGTCCTTTTGCTCTGTAGGACTTGAACTGCATGTAACAGCCCCACTGGGAAAACCACTGCTAACATTCTAGTCCTTTTCTATGTATCTGCAAGCGTTGCAGTAATGGAATCATCAGGAAGCATATTATACACACTAGGATGCCTTTCTTTTTTTAAATCTTTTTTTTTTTTTTTTTTTAAGACAGAGTCTCATTCCATCACCCAGGCTGTAGTGCAGTGGCACGATCTCAGCTCACTACAACCTCTGCCTCCCATGTTCAAGTGATTCTCATGCCTCAGCCTCCCAAGTAGCTCGGCTTACAGGTGCCTGCCACCATGCTTGGCTAATTTTTGTATTTTTAGTCGAGATGGGGATTCACCATGTTGGCCAGGCTGGTCTTGAACTGTTGACCTCAAGTGATCTACCTGCCTCGGCCTCCCAAACTGCTGGGATTATAGACATAAGCCACCACGCCTAGCCTCTTTTTTAAAATCTTAATACTACAACTTAAATATCTTGCTAAGGTCTTCTCTCTTCATTGTGATTACATGGTACTTATATGATAATATTTATTTAACCATGTTCCTGTTTTTATTTATTTTTATTATTATTATTATTTTGAGACAGTCTTGCTATGTTGCTCTCAGGCTGGAGTGCAATGGCACAATCATGGCTCACTGCAGCCTTGTCCTCCCAGACTCAAACGATCCTCTCACCTCAGCCTCCTGAGTAGCCAAAACTACAGGCACGTGCCTCCATACCCACCTAATTTTTGCTTTATTTTTTGTAGAGATGGGGTCTCACTATGTTGCCCAGGCTGGTCTCAAACTCCTGGATTCAAGCAATGCACTCGCCTCGGCCTCCCAAAGTGTTGGGATTACAGGCATGAGTCATGGTTCCTGGCCTGCTGATAGACATTTACATGAACTTCAATTTTCCTAAGATGCTACTTTAGTGAGTATTTTTGTACATATATCTTTGTTCATTACTTTTAGTATCCCTGTAGATAAGTACCCTAAAAGTGAAATGTCTAGGTTTTAAACTGTGAATATTTAAAATTTTGATAAGTACTGTCCAAGTGCTTGAGAGAGGTTGTTCCAACTTACACACCTAAAGAGAACAGTGAAAGATGTCTTGGATGTTTAAAGAATATAAAAACAATCCCATAAATAATCAGTAATAGATGTGAAAACAATGAAAGCAGTTACACTGCTTTTCTTTTTTTTTTTTTTTTGGAGACAGAGTCTCGCTCTGTCGCCCAGACTGGAGTACAGTGGCGCGATCTCAGCTCACTGCAAGCTCTGCTTCCCGGGTCCACGCCATTCTCCTGCCTCAGCCTCCCGAGCGCTGGGACTACAGGCGCCCGCCACCAAGTCCAGCTAATTTTCTGTATTTTTAGTAGAGACGGGGTTTCACCATGGTCTCAATCTCCCGACCTCGTGATCCGTCCACCTGGGCCTTCAAAGTGCTCGGATTACAGGCGTTAGCCACCGCGTCCGGCCACATTGCTTCTCTTACAAGTAGTTTGGTGATGGGTTCCACAAAAAAAGTTACAGATTAAGGATTAAGTAGCATTAGATTTTAACTACTCAGATACCACAAAAATACTTAAGTTTTAGGTCACATGAAATGGGATAAATATATGATGATCTAAAAAGCTATAATGGAATGAATACAGAACTCCTCTTTTTCAAACTTTTTTTAAATTTACCATTAGTTAAAAATAAAACATACAGGTCTTCCTATTGATTTATCAGAAATGGAAGTTCATAAGTGTATAAAAACTATTTCTCAGCACACAGTGTTAGAATTAGCACAGAACCACTCTGATTTAAAGTTGATTTTTCTCACCAACAATGAAGGTCAAACCATCAGTCAGTACTTAATTTTCTCAGCCTTCAGGCTGCCTGAAACCGTCAATTCTTTCAGAATTTCTGATTGAGGAGTAGGACAATATTTGAAGCAAAAATACTTAGCCCTATTCTTTCCTTATAAAATACAATAACAGGCCGGGCGCGGTGGCTCAAGCCTGTAATCCCAGCACTTTGGGAGGCCGAGATGGGCGGATCACGAGGTCAGGAGATCGAGACCATCCTGGCTAACACGGTGAAACCCCGTCTCTACTAAAAAATACAAAAAACTAGCCGGGCGCGGTGGCGGGCGCCTGTAGTCCCAGCTACTCCGGAGGCTGAGGCAGGAGAATGGCGTGAACCCGGGAGGCGGAGCTTGCAGTGAGCTGAGATCCGGCCACTGCACTCCAGCCTGGGCGGCAGAGCGAGACTCCGTCTCAAAAAAAAAAATAAAATAAAATAAAATACAATAACAACTTGTCGTTTATAGAAATAACATAAAGTTTGCCTTTCTAAGCATCAACATTAATACAAACATTTTAAGAAATTAAGATAGTCGTTTCTTCTAAAACTTTCTCTAGAAGAGAAAGCTGTTTTAAGAAATTTGGCACAAAATACAAAATGAGGAATGTGTTTGGTATATGCTTTCAGGTCCACTAGCATAACACTGTTCATTTCTAATACAGAGTTAGTTTAGTGAATAATACTTAATGACTTTCAGTAGTTATTCTTAGAGGCAACACAAAATTATAATTTTTTAGGGTAAGTGTCATTCAAGAGTCCTATTCTTAATCTTCAAAAATGTTGACAGATGTGCTCTGTATTCCACCAAATTTCTATTTGTGAAGCCCAGCTGCTGTCTGAAACAGCTCTTGCTTCATAGGAATAATGTATGACTCTTTAAGACAATGTCACCAGGAAAATGATAATTATCAAGAGATAATTCAAGAAATTTTACACAACAAAGACCAGTTTGTTGACACCGTCATGCCTTCCAAATGACCGAGGATGACAGAGTATTTTAGGAATTGTTATAGAGAAATCTAAATGGAATCCACAAACATTCATCCCTGAGCAACTCCATTAGATACATTTCAAAAGAGCTTCACCTGTGAGTTACACAAAGAATATGTTGACACGTCCTCTTCGTGGAGTCCACCAGTATAGAAAGCTTTTTAACTTTCTTTGACCTATCTACCACTAAATCTGTTTTCTTAAAAATATCATGCTACTTGAATTGTGGTCAGGAGATGAGTGCTAGCACACAAACTATTTGTAACACACCCATGAACAGAGAAGATTAAAAGTACATTCTTGAATTTTAAATTCATTACAGAGCAGTAACCACTATTGGTACTGAATCCTGGACCACATGATGAGTAGCACTGTCTCACGGGCCCTAGTACTAGCCCCAGGAACACATAACGCATTGGCACACACTTAGGAAACAAATATCTGATGTGTATAAATGTGTGTATGTGTTTAAATAGCTTCTCAAATAAATTTAGAATCAAAAGCTTCTATAATCTGGGGACTTCTACTTTTGAGAAAATGGAGTAGCCATATTTTTCCCTATTCTTCCTGCTAAGTACAAATAAAAACCTTGGATATATATATACATAAAACTTAAGGTGACTCTGAAAGTTATAGAGAAGAAGGGAGACTAGCTAGGGAGCTTGAGGTCCAAGGAAGCGGGTGGTAGCGCGTCTCCTGTGTTTTCTTTGGCCTCATAAATCTTAGGCAGGGTGCTGGGTGCTAGAGAAACCAGCAACCCAAAAACATTAACAGGCACAGACAAAGAAATCTCCAGGCTCACATGGTTTCACTAGGGAAGTTCACCAAGCATTTAACAAGAAATCAACACCAACTAACAATGAGTATGTTGGACACTGAAATTAAGAATCCAGTGTCACTTGTAATTGCTGTAAAGGAGAAAAATGTGTGTGTAAATCTAACAAAACATATACCAAATGTGTATGCTGAAAACAATACAACGCTGATGAAATAAATCAAAGGAGACCTAAAAAAAAAGGAGAGACGTATCATATACATGGGTTGCAAGACTTAATATAACAAAAAATCAATTCCCTCCAAATTCATATACAGGTTTAATAAGATTCCTATCAAAATTTCAGCAGGATTTTTTCATAAAGACAAAATTGTTTTAGATTGTTCATAAAAAGGCATAGGAACTCAAATGGGTAAAACTGTTTTAGAAAAGAATAATAAAGCAAGAAGAGTTATTCTACTCAATTTCAGAACTTACATAAATACAGTAATTAAGACTCTGTGGTGTTGGTGGAGGGACAGACACAAAGATCAATGGAACAAAATAGAGAACCCCAAAACAGACCCAAAGAAATATGCCTAGCTGAATTTTGACAAAGATGTAAAAGCAATTCAATGGAGAAAAGATAAGCCTTTTCAAAAAATGGTGCAGGAACAATTGAATATCATATCCCCCTTGCCCCTTAAAAAATAACCTTGACCTAAGTCTCACAATTTATTCACAAGTTAACTCAAAATGGATCACAAACCTAAATATAAAACAGAAAACTATAAAACATCTAGAAAAAATATGAGAAAATTTTTATTACATAAGGCAAGGTAAACAGGACTTAGACCTGATACTAAAAATGTATAATCCATAAAGGAAATATTGATGTATTGGACTTCATCAAAATTAAACACTTTTGCCCTGCAAATGACCCTGTTGAAAAAATGAATACATATTGTTTTGCAGTTCTGGAGGTTGGGAAGTCCAAGTACTGCCATTTGGTGACATGGCCTTTCTTGCTTCATCCTCACATGGCAGAAAGTGGAAATGCAAAACAGGTCTAAGCTAGTTTCCTTCAGCCCTTTCATAAGGCACTACCAGGGATGTCCAATATTTTGGCTTCCCTGGGCCACACCGGAATAAGAAGGATTGTCTTGGGCTGCACATAAAATACACTAACGATAATTGAGCTAAGAAACTAAAATTGAAAAAAACTCATAATATTTAAGAAAGGTGACAGATTTGTCTTGGACCACTTTCAAAGCCATCCTGGGATGCATGTGGCCTGTGGGCCGTTGGTTGGACAAGCTTGCACTAATCCATTCATGAGGGCAGAGCCTTCATGATTAATCACTTCCCAAAAGGCTCTACCTCTTAATGATTTTGGAGGGAACATTCAGAACATAGCATCCACGAACAGACAATTCACCAATGACAATCTACAGATGGCGAATAAGCACATGAAAAGATGTTCAACATCTCTAGCCATTAGGGAAATGCAAATTAAAATCACAATGAAATATTACTACATACGCATAAGAATAGCTAAAATAATACCACCACCACCAAATACGGGCTAGAATGTGGAGAACCCTGATCACTTACACATTGCTGATGGCAATGCAAAATGGAACAGCCATGCTGGAAAACATTCGTTAGTTTCTTAAGAAAACTAATCATACAACTTCCATATAGTCCAACAATTATCCCCCAAAATGAACATTTATATTTATATCAAAAACGTGTTCATGAATGTCCAGAGTGGCTTTATTTGTAATAACCAAAAACGAACCAACCCAGATGTCTTTCAACAGATGATGGTTAAACAAACTGTGGTAGGTACATCCATATCATAGATTGCTACATAGCAAGAAAAAGGACTATAATGGGATTCTTACACACTGGATGTCTGTATCAAAACATCTCATGTACCTTGTAAATATATACACCTACTATGTACCCACAAAAATTAACACAAGAAAATGGAACTAAATACTGATAAATACAACAACTTAAGAGTTTTCCACAAAACTCTCCCTGAAAAGTAAAAACAGCATGTTACCACTGCACTGTCCTGCAGCATGGTGCACTGGTAGAGACCACTGATCTGTGATGCTATGTTAATGGAGCAGACAGCTGCCATCCCAAAAGGCGGGACCCTAATTTGCTGCTAGGACAGGACCTTCTAACCATGGATGCTTTTCAGGGCTGACACATGTGATCTGTGTAGTTGTATAGGGATTTAATGTTTAGCAATAGCTGTCTTGAAATTTTAACACGGGTCCCCTGCCTTTTTATTTTGCACTGGATTCTGCAACCCAGATAGCTAGTTCTAGTGTCTGGATACACAAAAGGAATGGTGAAAGGCAGACTGGCAGGAGGGAGAGTTAGGTCCTGGTCTCAGCTCTACCACTCACAATTTCATGATTGAGGCAGGCTACTTTCCTGTGGGCTTTATTTTCTATGTGTGGATGAGGGGTGTGTGTCCACATACTATACATACTTGGGTGCTTCAGCTGATCTTCCTAATGAAATATACTCCCAGCAATAAAAATGGCTCAAAATTGTAGTCATCCTAAAATAAGGAATGGGGCATTTAGAAAAACCACCACAATAGGTAATTCTGACAGACACACCTGGAGTGGAGGGCCACTGTGTGGGAGCAGCGAATGTCCCTCATTGAGTATAAGGCTGTCATAGCAAGCACTTCTCAACTAAATAGAATACATCTGTGTTCTCAGAGGGACAGCCATTGCTTGGTCACTCACCGTCACCCACTTTTGCTAAATGCTAATGATGATAAATAATATTACTATCATAGAGCCCTTTTTATTTTTCTTCAAAGACATACCACTTACTAAACAGATTAGATGAGCTTTAAAAAATAAAATGGCACATTGCCAAAGAGCAGTATTTCATTAGATTTTGTCAAAAACTAAAAGATGGGTTTCTTTTCTATTTTTTAACACATACATAGAAAATGACCCAAAGCATCCATATTACCTTGTTAACTTTCACACCTTCTTTTGGAGTTTGTTTTGTCGCTAGATTGTACCCAATCATCTGTTTAGCCAGCTGTCCCACAACATTTGGGCTAAGAGAAAGAGAAAACAAAGGGAAAATGAATGTTTGTTGAAAATCATTTTAAAGCAGAGTCCTTACACAGAGTCTCATGTCTACACTGCAAAGGGTTCACCTTCACCCTCACAAAATCCATGGGTCTTTCTGCTTCTGTGCTACGTGTTTAGCACTGTACTAGAGGTTCACTGAGAGCAAAATAAAAATGAGTTCATGAATGAATAAAGGAAACAAAAGATGCTTTGTGACCTCTTCACCCAAAAAAGTTACAGTCATAGTAAAGAGATAATGCTAAAATGCATACCAGAATCAGATAAGAGTTGACTGAAGATCCGGCAGCGGAAAACTGGGGAGATATTGAACAATGAGAGGGATAGGAAGAGGGTAAAGATCAAAGTAAATAGTAAAAAGGTGTGTGACAGGAACAGGGAGGAGAGGAAAGTGTTCAGTGCTACGAGACACAGTAGATGAAGGTGAAAAGACAGGCCAAATAAAGGAAGGCTTGGACTATCAGAGGGGAGGTACCCCAGGTGCCACTGGTAATGGGGAGTCACTGCAGGTTCTTGAATAGGAGTGACATTATGGAAGTAGCATTTCAGTTGGAAGTGGTATCATTTCCAACATTTATGATGAATCATTGATTGTCTAGGAGAGAAGGACTGTCAAGTTTTCACCAATTAGTAAGAAAAATCATTTTGTGGGAGCAGAAGGGAAACTAGGCCACTGCCAGAGCCCTCTACCTATGATTTCAGTTTGTTCTAGTTGCTTTGGCCCGCTCCTACCCCACCACAAGCATCCTCAGTGTGCCTTTCAATCTTGAGCAAGATCTTCCATAACTGCTTGGCCGAAAGACAAGGAATAACAACCTCCAGACTTACTCTTTTGTTAAATGAACACCTCCTTTCAAACCACTATTGAAGACACCTTTTCCTCTTCCTCCAGCTAAGATCTGGGCTTTTAAAACAATTTCTTTTGCATCTGAAAAAGAAAAATCCAGAGTTGGTAGCTGATTTTAAATTCTTTTTTTTGTTTTTTAAGCAACAAGGAAAGCAATAATGGCACATAACTTCCGAGTAACTGGTAAAAGCTCTTTCAAACTAACTTTGAAAACAAATGCAATGAAGAACTTCAAAAAAAAAAAAAAAAAAAATCAATGTGCCTAGTACGAAGCTTGTTTACTGAGGATATTCAAATGCTTCCTACCAGTTTAATCATCGAATACTTGACCTTCCCAAGGGAAAGCAAGGCATGTGTTCCCTTGCTCTTTTGAGTGTGTCAGAAAAAGCTAAATAAACCCTGGAAGGAGGTATTAATTTTCCTGTGCAATGGCACTCCCATATGGCAGAAGCACCAGTCTGCCAGTAAGAGGAGCTAACCATCAGAGATGTCAAAGGGAAGACTGGATTATGTGGGGGAAGGTTTAAAGACAAGACACAAAGGTCATAGTTAATAACTACATTATTGGAAACCAATAGTTTTCTGAGCAGTTGTTCTATATATTGATAGGGTTAGGCAAGGGAGGAGGAAATGGATTAAAACTAAAAGCAAGCAGTATTTTAAAATTATTGGCAAGGTAACAAAATATCCTGGGGCAAAGTGGTTGTGGAATCTTTGTTTCTCTTCACACTCTAGGAATGAAAGAACTCTCTAATCTTGACTTTTTAGATGAGAGTTATTAACACAAGTACGTTCCCTTGCAGGGAAGTTGGGTGCGTGAAGTAGCCCAGTGACAAATGGGGCCTTTAGCAAACAGGGTAGCTCCCCTCCCCAACCACCAAAAAAAAAAAAAAAAAAGCCTCCAAATCAAATATGTTTAATAAACCAAACAGCACACATCTGCAGACCACAGCTGATACTGATATCCTCTGTTTGTGAGTCATCTTTATTTAAAATCAGAGAACCCAATCGATCCTCTATAAGGCCGTAAGAGTATTCTGGTTCAGTATAACAGATTTAGAATCTGCAAACCCAGGTTTCAATCTGGCCTTCATCCCTCACCCAGCTGTGTGACATGAGGCGAGTTACTTAATGTCTCTGAAACTCGGTTTATTCAATTGTGAAATGATGATGAGGGTTGTTTTAGAAATTAAATGAACATACATGAATGCTTTATCCCAGAGCCTGAAAACTCATGATTAATTAAAAACTATTGCCTCAACCAGTTAGTTCATTCATTACCTTTGTATATTGTAAAGAATGAAAGGGATCATTACAGAGATGGCTAAACCAAAAAACTAACATTTTGTTGGTATCTGCCACTGCTCAATGAAGCAAGCGCTCCATTAAGTTTGGTTATTTCAGCTACTACTGTCACTGTCATCCTCACTGTTACTCACAGGCAAGCAAGTAAAGGTTCAAATGGAAAGAGCCGTGAAAGGTTTTATCATGAAGGCAATGGGGAGCTACAGAAGTATTTTACAGAAGGCATTCGGCCAGCTGATGTCACACCATTGAGGCTCCTTCACTGTCTTTATTGGTTAGTCTTCTTGTCTCCTATATTTGCTTACACTCAGAAAGCTGAAGCCCACCTTGTTCTCAGAAGCAAACACAGTTTTTTCTTAGAATGCTGTCCTGTGTACCCTCCGGCAATAATTTCTGCCCTGGATACGGACCATCACAACATCGGTCAAGCCCTGTCTTAAAATAAACTGGTTTCCATCAAGCTGAGTAGAAGACAAATTAATTGTCAGAAACTTACAAGGAAAGCAACCAAGTAAAATGAATGCACTGCATATTTAGCATACTGTAAGAACAGTAGTAAGAGCAAGGATATTGGAGTTAAACAGACCTGGTTACAATCTCCAACTGCACCTGTCACTTTCTTTGCAGAGAAGAAACAACTGAGATTCAGAAAGGTAAAAGTAGCATGCCCTTCTGTAAAGCAGTCATATTAAAGGAGTCTACAGTGTAAGGATGATGTGAAGAATAAATGAAATATAGTAAAGTGCCTGCCACAGTTTTTTAAGTCAAAATATGACAGCTATCATCATTATAATAATTTTCAGCAATTAAGAAAAAATGGCACACAGGAAGACATTTCCTATTTTTCTTTGGAAGACATCAACTGGAAAAAATACTTTTTGCTGTCTACTCAAATTTTTAATTGTGATCACTTCAAATTCTTTAAAATAACTGGCATTCCATTGCCATTATCATTTTTCATATCCTTGTCATCCCAAAGAGATGCTTTCCTCTCTGAGCTTTCCAGCAGCAAAACCTGAAAGCCAGAGAGAATACCTAATTGGGCATTGTTAATTGGCACTACATAGGCTTGATTAGATCAGCTTTAGTCATGAACCATCAAGACACAGAAACAGTTGTATCCTCAATGAAATGCTGTCAATTGAACGTGTCGCTATTTGACCTCCAGTCAAAAGCATTCCATGCAAAACAGTTGGTAGACCAAGCAACCAGTTCAGAGACTCTGAAACCATAGATCAGGACAAATAGAAAAAGACAACAACCTATGCACATCTGCAACATACACCCCAGGCCCAAAATGAGTTCACTAAAATCATCTCTTCTGATTACATCTCAAGTGCTAAATCAATATAGTAAGTCAGCAAGTCAGCAGCCCAAAGTAAAGCAAGTTTTTCTCATCTTGAGAAAAACTCTCATGAAGTAATTTAATTCAATGCTTATTTACTCAAGGTGCTGAAAATTAAGTAAAATGACTAAATCCCATTCAACAGTAACCCGTCTCTTCATTCAGTATTTACCAAATTGATTCACATGTACTAAATGTCACTGTGTCTATTTATTTCAAGATCTGATCTCTCCCAAAGCTCAAATTTCTTTTTTTTTTTTTAACACTGCCTCTCGCCCCAATCCTGAACAATATTAGAAAAGAAAAGAAAAAAAAAATCCAATACATGAAATGCAATTTTTGTCTGAATAAGATGATTTAACCATCCTTTAGAAAAACAAGCTAACAGGACAGAGGAAAAAACCCCAATAGGTATTGGGGTTTTTTTTGTTTTTTCCTTTTTTTTTTTTAGACAGAGTCTCACTTTGTCACCCAGACTGGAGTGCAGTGGTGTGATCTTGGCTCACTGCAACATCTTCCTCCCGGGTTCAAGCGATTCTGCTGCCTCAGCCTCCCGAGTAGCTGGGATTACAGGCACGTGCCACCATGCCCAGCTAATTTTTTATATTTTTAGCAGAGATGAGGCTTCCCATGTTGCTTCAGCTGGTCTCAAACTCCTGAGCTCAGGCAATCTGCCCATCTCAGTCTCCCAAAGTGCGAGGATTACAGGCATAAAATAGATTTTATATAGAAGTGGACTGCAACCTAGACATTGATAATTATATTATTGGACTCTGAGTTGGTATAACTCGGGTCTGGATAACTCCAAAGTCTTCGCTCTTAATTGCTATTTTTATATGCAGTAGCCTAAGTATGCAATGTCCTCACTAAATTTTGTTCCTTTCCTAGTGAGTTTCTGAAAATAACCAGTACTCATGGTTAAGTTTTCACTCAGTTTAATGGGAACCAGTTTATTAGAATTTACATATATTTTCATAGAAAACACTGTAAGACATATCTGACAAACTTATAAACATGTAAGACTCTCAAACACAGTATCACTTAAGAGAATGATATTTAGAGCCATTTAAAAAGTCTAAGCAAAACCTCACTCTGTGGTTTTTTTTTTTTACTTTATTGGCTGAATTATAACAATGCTTTTGCAAATGTTTTCTCTTCATTCTTTACCACAAGTGTTATTCTAATTATAATACAGTTTTATACCAATTTTTATAGATCCCCAATAGTCACATGCTGGATAATAAACATTCTTGGAAGCAGCGGATCTAAAGGGAAAAAAATCAATTCATTAAGAAAAGCATAATCTAAATAGAATACACATTTTTAATTAAGCAAGCTTTGTAAAATGTGGTTCACTTAATTTTCTTAGAGATGGCTTTCTGAAAACATATTTACACAAAGTAATGTTCACAAGACATATTTCAGAGCCATAATAGGAATCATAGTAAATGTCTGAAATGTTAAATATATTTACAAAAGCAAGTTATTTTCAACTACTTTTTAAAAACAGTTCAGTGATGAATCAACTATTTGTGTCACTGAGCTGGTTTTTATTCAGCATTGCTCTTTTCTAAAATATAATACTTTCCTAAATGCTAAATGTATCACTGATACTGCAATGAGATGACTACTACAACGATCATCTATTTGGAGTCAATAATGTTGGACTTGTTGTGGAAACTGATTTCCATGGTTCACTGACTGGAGCAAAATTGGAATATCCCAGTTCTCAGCACAATTGCATTGTATAACACATAGCATGGCAATCACCTTTCATGAGATTTGATAGAATTCCTAATTGAGAAAGTTAAATTGTATTGCAGAATTTCAGACTTACCTATTACCAGAAGGCAAGGAGAAGGGAAAGTGAAAGGCAAGAGAAGAGTCGAAAGATATTGGGTAAAGACGAACTTCTAATAAAGAATATACAATTATACAGAGATAAGCTAGAGTTTCGGTGCCAAATTCCTGAAGGAAATGAGCTCACTTCTATGTTTGCATTATGACTTCAAAACCCAAACACAAAAATAGAGAGTTACCAATCTTCAATCATTACTATAATATCACATATAGACTGACACATATTTCCTCAAGTAGCAACTGGGTTGGTGGGAATAAGATGATACTGTGATAATTCTCCATATGTCCAAAGGCATCTTTGAGACTGAAATAATTATTTCAGTTTTCAACATGTCCGACATGGACTTTTCAAATTTGGGAGAGAATTTCAAACACACAGCACATTAGAATAAACCACTTCACCGCTGGTCACATCACTTGACTGAATGAGACTGGAGATATGTGGCTTCCCAGTAGACTGCTGCCCATCAGAGATTTGAATCGTATATGTCTAAAACAGCCACTTTCAAATATAAGTAAAAGACAGAAATAGAACCATCTCCAGGACAAGGATTTTGTGATACAAATAAGA